CCTCTCAACGCTTTCACACTTCAGTGAGTACTGTTCACGGGTTTCCAATCTGAGGGCAAAGATCGGCGCCTTGAGGAGTCATGTGGTTAATCTGAGGGGGTCTAAAAGAAGATTTAACAAAAGGATGAATAGAAGTTCACTAACTTTCCTGTGATTTTCACGCTGCCTTTGATGGATTACTATCAGATTTTGTGCATTTATGGTCAGTTGGGGTTCAAGCAAGAGCACAAAATATAGCCCGATTTTACAGGTGTGACTCTGATTGTAAGCACTTTAACAATGATCAAAGTTTTTACAAAATTGTTGGCATGGCAGTAGACCAGTAAAACTAAGCAATAATTTACTCCAGAAAACTCTGGGAAAAGCATATAGTTAAGCAAACAACAACAGCAAAAAGTTAGTGATTGAACAATCAGTGAGAAGAGGGCCCACAAACCGGTATGGTCATGATCTGCTGCTCTGGAAATTGAAAATCAGTTCCAGTGATTGTGCATCCATCCTTTCCTTATCTGAGTATGGATCGCGGGGCAGCATAGCTATCCCAAACTTCCCTCTCTCTGCCTACCATCTCCTTTTTTCTTAGGTTGAATACAGAGGTTTCTCCAGGGCAAGCCAGGATAGATAATCTCTCCAGCATGTTTCCAAAATACATCACCTAGAAGGCATCCAATAGGCAACACAACTCGCAGGATTTGGAAATACAAAAATCAAGGGTTCCCTTGCAATAACAAGGACTGATTGCCAGAGAGAGAAAACCTATCCTCATACAGCTGTCAGTTAAATTTAGAGTATAACAAAATGACTATGATGTGGTTAAAAGAGACAATACAGTTACTGTTTAACAAAATAAATACAGCTATTACAGGCCCCGAACTTTCCTTTTTCCTTCTTCTTTTTTTATGGAAATGGAAATTTTTAAATGTGACGATGACATTTCTCGGATTCTGCAAAGTATTATGGAAGTTCTTGACTCCCTGTAAAAATGCTGGTATGTTCACTTTAGGCCTGTATAAGCAGTAATACAACAGTGTAAATAGACCCAAATACAGTAGTTGAGTAAATGGGTTACTCTCCAGCAATGCACTGGGGTGGCTCGTGTTTCACTTGAGAAACATCACACATGTACTAAACCTCTGAGTGCAAATTGAGCAAAGGCACCAACATACTCTGAAGCCCTCACAGTTCCTTACTCTCCCACTGGATCGAGATCCTGTGCACAAAACCACTACTATGCCACATTGAAAACAGATGGATCAAATAGTCCTTATCCTTTATTTGGACTGCGCTCTGTTATTGGAAAGAATCTCAGTACGAATTACCAAATCTGGCCGCATTTCAGGAAAACAAATGGACACAGATGTAGTTTTCCATTTTACAGGCTGTTTATGTCTTGCAAATTCCTTCTCCAGAAGAGTGGGATAGGCGTCTTTCATGTTTTAATGGCTCAGAGTGACCGCAGCCCTTTGTGGCAAACGCTCTGTTCCAATACTAATGACATACAGTCACACAAGACTCTGGCAGCAGTGTGCTGCTGAGGCTGCCTGCCCATTGTGTAATTAGTCTACCACTAAATCCTAGTCTGGGGAAACATTCACAACCACATTAAACACTGACAGTCTTTCACCTCAGAGAGCCTAAAACAGATGGATGCGTTCTGAGGGAGTAATCGAGCACAAATGCCTTTCATCAGTCAGTTAAACTGATAACATTTGTTTCCTAATAATAGGGGGTTCTCTGCCATCACTGCAGGAGTTTGTCTCGAGTTTACAATTTGGACTGTAGACAGACAGTTTGGACAGAAGACGACTGGATGACAGTCTTCTTTTTTTTTATTGGCATTACATTTCTACAGTAACTTAATCTTTCTCTGGAGTGATTGCCTCACATGTGCTTTTGATAGAGAAAACTTTATTTGGGAGAAAAAAGCAAAACAACCAGCAAAGCTGATAAGTATACCGCAAACCAGAATATCTTGATTTGGACCGTTCAAGTCTTGTCTGGCTTTGCACTTATCCTGTGAAATCCTGCCATCTGGTGGCTCTCACGAAACATTACAGTGAGTCATGCTTTGTTTGGTGGGCACAAAAAATGGGGGGATTTTGTAGTTAAATAGATTAGATCAGGATTTCGACATGCATCTTTTCCACTGACAACATAATGATCTTTTCAAGACAGAAGACAACTGTTTGTTTACTATCAAAACAATATTGGTGAGATTCTCGAGTGAGCAAGCGCTGAAATACAAACCCACTTCCTCACCACTGAACATTTTAATACAAATAGCAGAGGCAGCTGACGGGCAAATTGCACTTAAGAGTGCTGAACGGACTCTTCCAGAGGATCTGGAGCAAAAATGTGAGTATATGAGTTAAATATAAATAGTGTTTTGGTTGAGCTGAAACTTTTATATTATATTTTTAATATAGCAACGAAAAATGCGGACGAGTAAAAGTAAAAACAGGGTAACTTTTCCACAAGAGGAAAGGCTAATTTGCTTTAATATATAAAACACAACCACAAGTCGATGCTGGAATACTCTGGTAAATCCCGACTCTGATCATTCCCAAAGGGCAGTGAACTCAGGCCGTTTTGTGATCTCTGATCCAAGTGGTTTCTGCAGACCTTTCTGAAGTGTCTCTTTTATTTGGCAGATCAGAGCAGACGTGAAGGAAAGAAAAAAAAAAACATCACTCAGACTTAAATCTTTCCCATTTTGGTGAAGGCCACATTGCGCACATGTCTCTCTCATCTGTCAGGTAATGACAGCACTAAGCCTACTTGTCACCCGGGTCAAATGAAAGCCCTCACACCAGAGGAAACCTCTCGGTGACCCGGCCTCTGTCTGGGAGCGTGACGCGTTAATCACAGCAGTAAATGACGCCAAAGCAAGAAGCAGGCGCTGAGGTGTCTCCCTGAACGGATCTGCAGAGAAGTCTTAGTTTCATGTCAGTCTTCCTGATGGGCTGTTAAAAGCCACCAGGGCGCTGTGATCTCAGAGCGCACTGCAGTGAAAACACATATGGTTCTGGTTGAGGCTGGGGGAAATTGGATTAAAGAAATTCTTCTTGAAACGCTCGGCATCGTTCTTGCCATAACAACTGCAAGCAGCTGACAGATGAAACCACAAATCAGCCTGAAACTAATATTTAGCTTCTCTTTTTCATGTCGACTCAGTCACAACAGTGGAAGACAAGCCAGCTGGAGGGGACTGTGCTGAACAGTGGAGAGAGGTGAGTGGAGGAAGGCTCTGTGGATGTGGATAGATTATTATATTTCTTACCTCAACAAGGTGAAATGATTACAGCATGAAAGCGTGTTTCGGGGTTCATATAGTAAGGCTTTATTTGCACACGAGTCCCTGATTGTTGTTTTAAGACAAGCTTGAAAATTTGCGGCCCTATAAATTGTCCCTCAAGTGGCCAAAAACTGTTCTTAGGCCTGAGCGCAGCACATGCTTTCCATCACACAGATGTTATTCCACCGCTGGCAGTAAAAGAGTTGGGTTTGCTCCCTTTGTTCAGATCATCAGAGCAGGAGAATCATCTCAACCAGCGTGAGAGGAAAAAGACAGGTGTCTACATTACCCCACTTTGTTTGAAATTATTCTTTAAGTGGAGCATTAAAGGCTTCACAGAGAGCAGCCTTTTCGGTGTTTAAATTAAGACCATCTGTCCAGTTCATACTAAGTAAGTCATCAGTTACATTTAATTTCTGCAGGAAAGAAGGAATCTTGGCTGCGGCCCTGATCCGGCACTTAGCTGAAATAAAGCAGAACAGGCCGGGTGTGGCTGACACTCAAATATCCCTGTCTAAACAGCACAGACCGAGACAAAATGATTTAAAAGACTAATTAAATTGTTGTTAATCCTAGCTGAAGACAAATATTTTCACAGTAGTCGTTTTGATTGATCATAAGAAAAGCACAGGTGTTGCTACTAACCTTGCTGATAGCTCAACAATGAGTCATGACAATGAGACAGCGTGCAAACGTGCACAAAACCAGGACCCTGAAACTGAGCTGAAATTCAGGCAGCTCAGTTTAAGGGTCTGACCCTGTCACACTGCCACTGTAACATCTCTGTAAATGTAATGGAGGTCCTTTTGTAAAGTACGTATGTTCTTGTAAATAAAGTTGAGTAATTTCAACTTTGAACAAAAAGTATTAACAGCAATTGGTTGTAATGACATAATGCATCTGTTTTTTTCCCCTTCCTTCATGGAGTGTAAAGACTTCTGGGTATCCAAATGTTTAAGTTCAAATAATTCACTTGGAAGAACTGTTATGGTCAGTGAGGTTATTTCAGTTATTTAGTGCAGACTTTGATCATTGCGGTTTGGGTGCAATGTGGCGTGTTTATCCAAGAACAGCACTAAAGTTTAGAGGGTGATCTTTTTAAAAGACTAAACCTCATGTGGTCAACTCCATCTTCAGGCTAGATACCAAATTTTAGTCCATATTGACATATTAGCATCACACCGTTGCAGATTTGAGGGCTGCACATCCATGATGTTAATATCCCATTCAACCACATCCCACAGATGGACTGAGATCTGTGGAGGCTATTTGAATACAGCGAACACTTTGTCATGTTCAAGAAACCAGTTTGAGATGATCTGATTATGGGAAATTGTAGCCAAGAGGATAAAATGACAACCAAATGCAAGTATACAGTATAAAGCTTGTTTTCTATAGCATATATTTTATATAAATATATTTTAACAGTAAATGTTGTAGATTACAACAGGCACAAAATACCCGTTAAAATATTTAGATATGGTTTTAAATATTTCAGTGTAACGGCACTGCTGCATTTGTTACACCATCAAATGCCCCACATACACTGTTAGATAAGCCAAGTAATGGCTCATTCACATGACAGAAGTAGATGCAACTTTAATCTTTCTGATTTGGCTTTGCAGACCTCAGACATAATACTTTCCTAAAAATAATCTTTTTTTTTATATATATATATATATATTTTTTTAAACACCATGTACTAATTAAAAATTTGGTCTTTAAAATGACTAAATGTACAAGTTGTGCATTTAAAAGCTCACTGTGTTTCAGTGTTGAGTAATTTACATGTTTACATAAAATACTTGAAATGAATGAAAACTAAATGAGAGCAGAATCAAAAGATGGAGAAAATAAGTTGTCAAGCACTAATGTTTGCACTTAAAACCTCCATTTGTATTATGGATTTTTAAAAAAAAAAAAAAACAATATCTTCTGTTAAGTACACATTTCCTAAAAGGCATTAAGAAAAAAAAAAAAAAAAACCTAGCGTACATTCATTGCATAAAAGAAAAGCTTTGTTATTGGTCCTTGTTCATTAACTATGACGCTGGGTAAAAGAGTGAAATTCAAGTAAAATTAAACTTGAGCAAAAAGTCCAAAATAATATTTAATCTATTAAAAATATTTACAGCATATTATACAACTGACTTGTCTTAACGGGTTTCATATATTTCAACAAAATATATGAAAAGAAATCTGTACCTTGGTTGTAAACAACTAATCACATCTTCATTTTGATTTTTGTAACGCTCCCATAAAGCACTACATTGGGGGAAAAAAGGAAAAAAAAAAAAAAAATCTTCACATAAACACGTCTTTAAACAAAATGTAAATGTAAGGACAAACATCTGGAGAATGGTTTTATTAGAAAAATGGTGACAGCCTACATGACAAATTAAGCCAGCATCTGAATTAAAATAGGGAACGTGAAATTCTTCTCTCTAAAAAGAGAAAAAAAAAAACCCAAACAAAAACAAAATTAAAAAAAAAAACAAAAAAAAACTACAAAGTGGTACTCAAAAACATACCAGTACAGGAACAGCATAATCAGCAGCTTTCCACATGAAAGAAAATGGATTTGTCCAGGGATTAGTGTGACATCTTGCTCCAATTCTCCTCTACATCGTCAACAGATCTCTCACAATCCGCTCTCCAAAGGCGTTTTGTGAAAACATCCTTTCAACTGGGAAGAATGTCTCCAAACGTCAACACACAAAGCCTTCTGATCCGAAAATAAAAAACCTTACACTGCCTTGCGGTGGTACTCTGGAGGAGCAACTTCATAGTCGCTTGCATTGAAGAGCGATGCAGAGTGTTTTACAAGATACCTGAAATGAAGAAACATTTTACTCATCTCTGCTGAGCTTTGATAATCATCATGAGCCTCGTTAAGATTCCTGAATACTCACTTGAGGAAGTCCTGTAGGTAACTGAGCAGCAGTGCAAGGCTCTTCTCATCCAGGGGAGTGTACGCCAGCATGGCTCCAATTCTCACTTTCAAAACCAAACAATGACAGCCTTTTGTAAGTCATGTGACCACTGACCTCCGTTTCATTTATAACAGCTCATTGCAAAACCATGCCTCACCCGCACACTTTCAATTTAAAGCAGCCCTTATTTTTAAATGTTGATCCCTGCATGAGTATATATCTTCACGCACTAAAGGATAAAGTAGGAACTAGACAGAGAAGGGGTCAACAGTGAATTGACCTCTACACTACTACTGCTTAAGCAAAAATCAACACCATCTAAAGAGGCGTGTGTGCAACACTTATCTCAATAAATGTTTTACCGAGCTTATGTCATTTGACTTTATTTATGATGCTTTGTTATGACAAGAAATTAACTGAGACAACATAACATGGCATCGCAGTCAGGGCCATAAGCTTTTGGCCAATCACAAACCTCTCGCACTTTAGTCTCTGTACACTGCCACAGGAGACTTTAGTCATATCTTAATTTATTTTAAAGTGTAGACTTTCAGTTATAACTGTTTATCAAAACGTATAAATCATTTAGGAGTTACAGCTATTTTTCTATCAAGCCCCACATTTTCTGAGGGTCTTGAGGGGATTAAAGGATCTGCATTGGGGGGAGAGAGAGAGCTGCAAGTTTCAACCTGCCACACACATGTAGCTCTTGCAATGTGTTTGTGTTCAAGTGTGAATAACTGAGGGTGGGCTGCCTTCAATTTTGAACAGTTCTCATATTTATGTCAGTTGGGTACATGAATTTCTGCATTTTGCCTTTTGTTTCTTTTGGTTGGATTATCTCCATTTTGAATCTGTGGACAGATTTGCTTGATGTTCTGGCCTCAGCTCACCCCGGAGTTAATTCACCAACTTAACAAGTGGCTCTTGTGGCTCCTTGGAACTTGGGAAAGAGATGCCTTTCGTGTTTTGTCCGGGCCAGCCCTAGATGGGGTATAAACAGCCTCTAAGCTATCAATTCCTTTTTATGATTGATGCTGGCATATATTTTTCTGATTTCTCAGACACTGTGCCCTGACGCTAACAACCTGTCTAGGCCCAATTTTATCTTCACAAAGCATCCATAAAAGATGGACCGAATCCAGAAAAGAATCTGACCTTTTATAACATTAATTATGACAATGCCAATAGGGAGTTATTTTGGGCTTAGTCCAAGTCAAGAGATGATGAAGATTTTAAACCTTTGGCTGTGCCTTCAAACTGTGGTTACAGTGGAAATGATACCTCCCCCAGATCAAAGAGTTCATTTCCAGTAACAACTGAATCATCAAGAGATTTTACAGTCACCTCTTTCAACACAAGTGAAAAGGCAGATAATCTTTTTTAAAAAGCATCTTTGTATCTTTGGAGTGCAGCTCAGTATTTTATATGTTAAAGCTTAGACAAAAACATGTTCAATCATTTTTGTGCATTAAGACCTACAACACACATCTGATAGTTTTATAATATACATTTGTTAATGGCTTTATATGAATAATTTGATAAGAAAACAGGACAATCTTTAGCTCTTCTACACCGTTTTCGTCATCTAGTTCTTTCACCAAACATGATGATGTGTAAGTGCTTTTACCAAAGAGTCTGAGTAGGTGAGGAGCCCCATAGATCTGAGACATTGGTGTATCTGGGTGGTTGGCAAGGATGTCTGCGTACTGAGGCCTCTCGAATTTGTAGAGAAGTTGTGTCCCCAGCATAACATTGAAATATTCACGGATACCAGCAACCACCTCGTTTACAGCAAACTCCCTGAGCAGTGAAGAGAAAAAAGAAAAGTCAAATCTTTACTCTTAGTATTTGTTCACCATGTCCTAGAAACATTTTAAATTAAACATTTTCTCTCTCTGCATTGCTCGCACCATAAACAGTTTTGCTTGAGAAGATGAAAAGTAGAAGTTTTTACTTGCTGTCCGAGTTTCCTCTTGATTTCTTGTAGTTTGCATAATCTTCAAGGACTGCGTCAACATTTTTTTTGGCAGGTAGGTGGAAAAGCTGAAGAAAAACAAAATAGAAAGAAATAACCTTGGAAATGTTGTAGACAAATACAATGTATAAAATGCTGTGAAGTAAGTGAAACTTGAGTTTAAGGTCAGTGCTTACTAACCTGCTTTTGCCGTGTAATCAAGTCCCAGTCGTCCACAAGCCAGGGTTTCAGCTCCTCTGGGATTTTCACTTTGACCTCCACTCGATTTATGAAAGTTTCCTCCTGAGTAAACAGGAGTGCGGGGGAAAAAAAAATAAAAGGTTAATTAAAAGGAAGCTTTTAACAATCATGTTTACACACCTAAATGGAAACCAAGCCCCAGAAACATTTCATAAACAGTGGTTTAAAATGTAGTTCCTGCTACACAGCTGCAACTGCAGTGAATTAAGGCGTTTTTACACCTATAGTTTGTCAACTCTGGTCTGAATTTGTAAACTTGTAGCTTTTTCCCATGGTTTCGTCTCTTTTCGCACAGAAGATGCCAATCAAACTCCAAGTGAGCCAAAACGCGTCACTAAAAACGATGCAACAATGTTCGGTATGCTTACTCGAGTCTGGAGTGAGAGCAACAAAAGTAAATACAGGAAACAGGTGCTGTGGTCTGGAATAGTGGATAACATGGAAAATTTAGTCCTAACATTTGTATTTTATCTGGTTAATATTTCACAGTTTATACACGCTGCAACACTCCAGAATGCAAAGCATTCTCGGCTACAGCAAGGTGTTCCATTCAAACCTATAAACAACCATAAACAAACCGCTCTGAAGTTTGTTTGAAACCAAAGAAAGATCAGCTCCCCCAAAGGGTTTCAGTGTGGTTGCTCTGGTCTGCACCCAAGTGCGATTACTTTGTTCTCATGAACCACAAAGCAGCCGTAGGCCTTTTTTATGGTCGCCGCGTCGCTTGTGTCGTAGCCATCTCGTGAGAATTTTCACTTCACATCTTGTGCCATGTTGGTCGGTCGTGCACCTCTTGATTTTTGCGACTTGGTGCGTTGTGCTCGGCTGAGCTTGTGAAAGGAACTTTGCAAATAAAACAAAAACAAAACAAAACACTTTTGACAAAGCTTTGGTTTCCGGTTTTGACTTCTTCTCCTCCCCAGCAGCACATATGACAAGATAGTGTCTGAGTGGCGACACCTATCATTTAGGAGAATACTACAAACTTCTTGTGCCTTAACTGCAGGCATAAATGGCTGCATCTGTGTGATGGCGTGGCAGTGAGCAAAGCGACCACTCCAGCAGGTGTATTGGCACATTAAGTCTGTTCATTTTCGCACAGTCTGGTATTATTTGACATTACCAACAGAACAAAAATTCAGCAGTTATCTGAACTTACGCTTTCCACAGTTGGGTCAACACGAGCTCTTTTCTTGCGTGGAGGATGGGTTGGATCTCCCCCTGAACTAGTCCCTTCTCCTGCTCCAGGAGCTGCACAGACACAGCTTTAATTAACTGCCACTCTTGCCTTATAATGAGTCAATTTTAAGAATAGCATTTATGAATTCTAACATTGTAAGACAATGTGATGTACTCACTCTTCTGTTTGTTCTTTTTGGTTTTCCTACAAACAAAGAAAAGCTAATTAAGTGTGAAGTGTTAATATGAAAAGCAGTTTGACACCTTATGTTACAGAGGAAAACAAAACAAAAACTCACACATCATTTTTCTGCGATGCAGCAGGTATCTTCTTATTTGGCGCTTGACCCCTCATTTTTCCTTCTACATAATGGTCTCTGTATTAAAACAAGTTCAGATATTCAGGAATGCTTAATTTGTACCACACTCACTATGCTTTCACAAGATTTAAAAATCACTGTAGCATGTGACCTAACAGTTTTTGTTATGTCCAAGTAGTACTATAAATAGGCATGACACATTAGTGTTGCCACTTGCATAAAGGGATTTAGTACACAAATAAAGGGGGGGGGGTTCTAAGTGGAACATTTACTCGAGCATAAAAATAGCAGATTAATGTGTAAATAAAATTACAGAAAAATATTCTATTAAGACTCAATGTGCTTCACTTGTATAGTGACTCCATACAGGCCCATTGTGAGCTAGACTAAAACTCTGTTGTGTCCCAATATGTTTAAAACATAGCACACATTGTGTGCTACTGAAATTAGATGAAGGATTTTGCCTAACTTGCTCCAACAGTCATAAGGAACTCACAGTCAGTTCAAAGTCGATAGTGAAAATAAAAACAGACTATTGACGTACTGATTGGCCCTCTGAAGCTCTCTCTGTTTCTGCAGATTACTATCCACATACTTAAGCACCCTGCTTTCAGGAACCCATTCGTCCCAGCTGGAAGACACAACATCAAAAGAATGTAAGCACTTGTTAAACAGTTCCTGTACAAACGTTAATCTGGATTTATTGGAACCAAAAACTTACTTCTTATTCCACCCACTGTAATGAATAAAGTATTTGATTTGTTTGTCCTTGATGTTTATCTTAACACACTGCAAAGAGAGGCATGACTCATTGTCAAACACAGACACAAAGAAGACGACTGAATGAGAGACGCGCTTAATTAAGGCAGCTTACCTTAGCTTCGTAGAGCAATGGCCCATGAAAACACAGCACTCTTTCACCTGAAAAGATATCAATCAATAAAATAAGGACGTGAGTAAGGCATTGACAGGAGAGAAGACCCCCCCCCACGTCTGGTTTGCTATCCTCGTGGGGAAATCCCATTGATATAATGCTTTCCCTAGCCGCTTACGCTAACCATCAAAAATGAATGCCTAACCCTAGGGCTACTCAATTAATCGAATTTTAATCATGATTACGATCTGGGCTTTCAACGATCATTAAAAATGACTGAGCCAATTATTAGCCCCTCCCTCGTGCTTTACTCTCGCGCTGCTCCGTGTGGCAAATCAAGCGCACCTCTCTGCATTTCGAACATGTGTCACAACAAGAGGACCCAAGGGAAACTCGGAAAGCTAAGCAGAAGTTATTTGGAGAGGAGAGTGACTGCCGTTGGTTGAAAAGAGGTAAAACAACCTTCAGTGGTGTGGAAACATTATGGGTTCGCGGAGTCAGACGTGGATATAGTGTGTAAACTTTGCTACAGTGTCGTAGCTGCACCACAGAGCAACACTGCAAAGTTTACTAAACATAGATGTTTACATTTTTCATTTATTTTTTATATTGCAAACATTTGCACTGTTATCAGTATTTGCACACTATTTTATATTATTTTTTTGACAATCTTTAAAGTCATTATTCAATACATTGTTATTGTTAAATAAATATCATCAAATAATCGAGATCTCAATTTCAGTGAAAATAATCGTGATTATCATTTTTGCTATAATTGAGCAGCCCTACCTAACCCTGACCCTTACCCTGAACCTAACCATAACCTAATTGTAACCCTGACACTAAAACCACATTTTGAGAGTGAAAATTGCTTTCAACCCCATGGGGATCTGGATTTTGGTCCCCACGGTGCAGAAAGTCCCCACCAGTATAGTAAATGTCAGATTTTGGTCCCTACCAGGATACTACGAACACACACACACACATTTGAATTTATTTTAGATGTTGTCCTAAGCACACAGGCTCAAGAGTATACATACACTCCTACTAATATTTGATTGTGTCTCTTAGCAAGCTCCATCTCAACCAGATGCTTTTGGTAGTCATCAACAAGCTTCTGACTGGATATCTGACCCCTCTTCTTAGCAGACTTGGTAGAGGCAAGTGATGGTGGTATTGCAGCGGTTTCCAGTTCATGGCAGGCTTGAGACTTGGTGGTTTGTGGGTTGTTCAACTTGAATAAAATTATAATCTTCTTCTTAGATCTTTACCCAGTCACTTAGACTTCTCCAACTGGTCCATCAAAGTCCCATTGTTCAAAGTATTGGTCAGCCCAATTAATGCTGTCAAACAAATGTTTTTTCCCAGACAAAAATAAACGAATAAATAAAAAATAAAAACTACCAGTTGTAGTCAGTCATGATCACCAACAAGAACTTAATGCGCCTTGGTCTTGTCATTTAAAAGACACTGTAGAACCTTAAGCACTACTTAAAAGCTTCAAGTGAATGTATGTATACATTTGAGCCTTGGTTGTTAAAGTCATTAATGATGTATACTCATTTGTTTTCCAGGGTGGAAAAAAATACCATGGCATTACATGCCCATAACGACTACATATAAACGTCTGACCACAACTGCATATTTACGGAAGTTTACATGAAAACTCGACTATTATCTCACTAATATGACTGTCAGGAGAACATTCTGCTCACTAATAATAAAAAGGAAGACTTTTACTAAATAAATTTAACGTAGTCCTGCTAGTTAATTTAATAACTTAACCACTCGTATATAATTCAACAAATGAGCGGCAAGTCAGCAGCAGGCGGTGCTAACACGCCGTGTACAAAAAAGCTAGCTAGGACTCAGCTAACAGTCAATGAGAAGCTAACGCTGCATGAATGAAAATATAGCCTTCAGTTCACTAAAATATCTCGAAAACACAGTTTATATAGCTTCTTACTTCTGAAATTGGTTTGTGTAGTAATGACAGGACGAAATAAACCACCAAAGCGGCGAATAAAAACTCCCGAGTCCCATTTAGTGCTCACAGTAACAACAATGAGAGCTAAAACGGCTAGCTGTTTGTTACGATCAGTAACTAGCTGACACTTTGAAGCTTTTCAGCGACTCCAGCACTCGCTGCTGGTACAAGCCTAACAGAACAAGAAGGAAACAAACTGTTACCTTCTTGAAATTTAGGTTTCGGGTCCTGTTTCGGCGCCATTCACGGATTAAACTATCAAAATATGGGAAAAATCGCCAGCTCCCATTCCAGTCTGCAGCGGCGCCGCTTTCTAAAAACGTCATGACCGACGCGATGACGCTTTAATGCCCCGACTAAACCCACATCCACACTCCAAATCAGCAATGAATGCAAAAGAGGATTTCTTTTCACATTTACCTTACACGTTTCTGCCTTCTGTTGGACTTTTTAAGCATCGGTGTCTGTTAAAAAATAAAATGCAGGCTAGACAACAAGTCATGAAACGGCTTTAAGCTAAAAACAGCTGGTTGTGCCCATGTCCTCTGAGACAGACCTGTGGTTTGGCTCGAACGCAAGTGTGCTATTAATTAGTGTCATATGATGAACAGATGCTCCAAAGACTGGTGATTTTATATATATATATATATATATATTATTTTTATTTGGTGTTTGTTTACGTTAAGTAAAAGTTTCAGAGTGGGTTGGCTGGTTTCTGTTAGGTTTTTTTTTTCAATATTATTATTATTTTTAAGTGGGGGATAACTGCCAAAAGCAGGTTTTCAGAAGTTCAGTATAATATCAATACTGTAAAAATAAATAATAATATTGATCATGAAATGACAATTAACATAAAATTTGAACCAACGCAGTAAATAAATAATTAAATATAATTTTTAAAAGGAGGTAAAATGTCAACAAGGTATACCATGTTTAGTGTCTGGATTCTGTATACAATGTTCACCAGTTAATTTCTTTTACAGAAAAAAGTTTAAAAACATATATTTTTTCTTATACTCCCAAAAATTATAATTTCAATAGTTATTAAAAAATTGCAATGAATAAATAAATAAATAGATAGAAAATAAATAAAAAACAATGCAAATGTGAATGTAACTGCACTACCTGCAAGTTACTACACAATGGCATTAGTTAACAAATTAGACTGTCATTACTCTCCAGCATAATATAAGACAAAATACATACAAAACACAAATTGTAAATGATGATTTCATTCATTAATGGAAAAAAGAAAAAGATAGCCAAACCAACTGGTGCTGTGTAAAAACAAAAAAATTGTCCCCTACACCTAATAACTAGTTGTGTGTCCCTTGGCAGCAGAAACTGCAATCAAGCATTTGTGGTAACTGGCAATAGAGCTTTCATATCACTTGGAAGGAATTTTGGCTCACTTTTCTTTGCAAAACTGTTTTAATTAAGCATTTTTGAGCAACCTGTGTAAGGTTATGTCAAAGTATCTGATTTGGATTTCAGTCTGGACTTTGACTAGGCCAGCACAGCACATTCAAAGGTAGACTCGCAGATGTGGTTGGATTGTTGTCCTGCTGCTTAAATCAAGTTTGCTTGAGTTTCAGGGCACGGAAAGATGGCCAGACATTCTCCTTCATGATTTTCTAGAAGAGAGCAGAATTCATGGTTCCATCAATTACAGCAAGTCACCCTGAAGCAACAAAGCAGCCCCAGACCACCAAACTACCACCACCATGTTTGACTGTTGACTAGTAAATGATTTTGTTGAGATGAAGAAATCATCTGCTTCTGTGGCTCTGTGATTGGTTGCAAACAGGAAACTTTTAAAGCTGTGATGGACAGGAATATCACTGAGGTCCACCTTATGTAACAGACTGATTCAGCTCCACTACCACAAAGACAGATACAGGAAATAATTTATATCTCATGCTACTATCATCTATAATACAATTTATCTGTCTGGCATAGTGACATCTGGCAGATGTATTTTTAAGGACGGCATGGTAATCACCTCATAGCAAAAAGCCCCCAGTTGGGCATGACTGAGTGAGGTTTACATGTTCTCCCCGTGCCTGCACGGGTTCCTTATGGGTACCTTGACTTCTTCCCACAGTCCTATAATACTGATTTTAAAATGAATATTGGTGTGAATGTGAACATGAATGCTCGTCTGAGTCTCTGCCACAGACTGGCAACCTGTCCATTTCAACTGCATGAAAAAAAAAAGTTCTAAATACAGGGTAAATAACGTATTTTGTATGGTAAACACAGCAGGGAAGTGGACTTCGACCATGCTGACTGAATAAACAAATGCAGAAAGCCTGCGGCAGTTTGTCAGGTTTACATACTCAACCAAAATGAGAAAGACTTAAAAAGTGACATTTCCTGTATATATATGCATTAATATTTTAGTTTAGTTTGGTTTGTAAGTAGATAAATATCATTTCAGTTATTTTGTATTTTTTGAATATGTCATCACTCCTGGTTTAAATTAACCATTAAAACACAGGGATACCCCGAGCCCATTTCCACTCCTCCAAAATCAAGAAAACTACTAACAAGCAAATGTGTACAATGTTGCTTTTCTTTCTTCTTCTAATAATAACTGCCAATGATATTACGTAGCTTTATCCTTTTGTAACCTAAGACCTTGATACTGAAAAACAATTTCATAAACAATCCAGATTTCTTTTAAGTGCCACGCCGCTCCTCAGAGACGGTACATTTTTTTTGCTGGCGACATTCAACCGAGTGATTTTGTTTCTATACTGAATGCTCTCAAAAGCTACCAGAGAAGCAAACGGAGCTGTCCTCACGCCATCTACAAAACATGCACTTCCTTGTATTGGTTTTAATTCTTACAAATATCAAACAGCACAGTAGACCTCGCAGCCGTTCAAAATGATCAAAGCTTCTATTGAGTTATTGACATCATCTGATAGCAAAACAGACAAACAGAAAATGTTACAATGCATGTCAAGCAACAATGACATCTTTAAATAGCATTAATTATATATAATTACAAAAGAAATGATCACATACAATGACAGCAATGCATGTTCATTAATCAAACAAATGCTGAAAAATATATATGATAATAAATAATTCTAATTGTAAGCACAAGTCAAACAAAATAAAGGAAAGGGAGGAGTCCAAAGTAACAGATGATTTTGACTTCTGGGCCAAAAAAAAAAGGGTGTTGTGATTCACTCGAAGACTAAGCTCTATCACAGTTATCTTAGAGGCTGCTGCAAATACATTAAACATCAAAAAAGGCTGTGTCCTGTCGCCTCAATAGGGAAGAGCACTCAAACAGGTGAGCTTTCAGGTAATTTGTAGACACACATAAAGCTGAAAACTACTCAATTGCGCATTGTAATGCATCACTGCTCCAAACAGGCTCTCTGTAAATTAAAAAACAAAAAGCAACAAGTGCTAAAATCAAACCCAGTGAAATGTATTTAATCCAATTGCACTCAGTGAACAGTTTTACACCTTTCAAATATAGCATTTCACCTCACGTGGACCAGAAACTAGTCTCCCATTGACGGTGGAGCAGAAATTTATCGGTATCAACTCATCAATTGTGGTTTTTTTTCTGTGCATGTTTTTAAGAATATAATATGCAAAGTAAAACAACTACACTTTGAGAGAAAAAAATTACACAATACTGCAAATCTAAGACTTATATAAAAGGTCCGATAGTGGTTCTTGCTGGACCTGTGCCCTTCATTCACACAACAACAACAAAATAAAATTAAAATAAAAGTGTTGTCTTAACAATACTGACTTCTCCCAATTTATGTCATCCAGGTACAGTTTGAACAATTTAACATCGCTCATGTTTGATTTGAGTTGAAGAAGTGAGGAGGAAAAGAGAGCACTTACGACAATAGAAGGATCTAGCATTTACTCCTGCATTTCTAGTGGCAACAGTTCCTAGAGGCATAGGGAATGCTTCTTTAAAAAAAAACAACAAAAAAAAAAACAGCACGCATCCTACATAACTTACATCATAAATAATTATTTAAAATAATGACCACAGCATGAATGTTCTACTGAAAAAATTCTACAGTGATGGCAAAAAATGGCTGATCTTTCTGCTGCCCACAGCATGTCAACAGAAATAAAGCCATTTAGAAAGTAAAGAAAGTGTTACCCATTTTCCTGTTTTGCTGAGACTTGCCTTTTGTACATCTATAACAATGCCCTTTTGCTTTATATTCTGAATATCACGCTCCATAAGGTTGTGACCCCCACTGCGTTCTGTGCATGTATACTGAAATAATGCCATTGACATGAATTATCGAAACAAAACCGTAAAAACAGGTACAAAAGGTACAATTTAATCAAAGGACCACATGAAGAGGTGTGAAAAAGTCTTCAGTATTCACAGAAAAATATCAACTGAAGTAACTCACCGGACAGGAAGCGTCCTAAGTTTATATACATATGATAAGTAAAATTGAAAATAGATTTTCCTCTCTGTACATAGCACTGTATTCTTTCATCTTCCTCTTCTTTATTTACAAAGAACTCCTGCTCTCGAGGTCTCCCTTGTCTTTCAGTTCTGAGTGGATCTAGTCAAGAGAGATAATGTCAGATATGGAGCCATAAATGGCCGCTGCAGCTGCTGCTGCTTCCACTGAGGACCTTGATAATCCTGAAATGGAATGGCTGTCCCTGTCTCTGTCCCGATCCCGGTCTTTGTCGCGGTCCCGCAGACTGCTCGAAGACACCAAACTACTGGTGCTGCCGCTGTTGCTGCCTCCGTTGGTGGCAGCCAATGTGCTGCTCCCTGGGGTGCCTGGCTGTTCACGTAAGAGCTGAGGGGAGCTGTAGGGCAGGAAACGGTTGAGGAGCAGGTCATGATCCTCTGAGGCTGAAGCCGACGCAGCTGCTGCAGCAGCCATCACCATATTGTAATGCTAACAGGACAAAGAAGAGTGACAACAGTCAAGCATACTGTGAAGAAATATGTTAAAGCCTAGTGCTATATTTACAAAACTTCATGACACTGAAGAATTGGGAGAATAAAACAAAGCAAAAAGCAAAAACAGATGACCAAGTTTTAATTTTAAGACAAACTACTAAGACCTGTGCCTGTCTGACTGCATGCATGCTTTAATATAATATACAGTAGTTCAACTAACAGCTGCTAAAGATAGAAGCAAAATGGCAAATTAAGTTGTTTTAGTGAATATTAAGTTTATAGTTGTTCCCAAATGTCACTGGCATGTTTTCCTGTGGTGTTGAATGGCGCTGTGTGTGAGTGATGTGCGGGCAGATAGATAGAAAGAGGGATGCAAACCAAGTTACTTTCATTAGTAACA